AGGGTTTTAGATCTTCCATTCACCTTTCTCTTCTCTGTATAGTTTTAGACATGCTTTTACTTATCAGATTATTAGACTTTGAATCTGTTCAGATATGATTCCGTTATTTATAGTTTTCTAGACACTTTGACATTCAAAAAAAAAGTAGATGTGAGCCGAAAGTGAGTCATTTTTTATCGTTTTTTACGCTGTTAATATTTTTTATTGTAGAGGATTTTATGGAAATTATTGGTAAATAAAGTACCTGTACTTATTGTTATTATTATTATTATTATTATTATTATTATTATTGTTGTTGTTGTTGTTGTTGTTGTTGTTATTTTGAGAATGTATCCAACACCAGACTTACATCTTGGTTGCCTTCTTGATTAGTCTGGAATAATAACATTTTCAGGTATATATGAAAATCAAGCGTAAGCAGTGATAATTGATAGCAGTTACTGTAATGTGATTGATGTCTAAGAACTGGTCATGGAAAAGCCAAGACTTATCTGTATGATTCACAAGAAGGAGCCTAAAAGTGTGACTGCCTCAACTCAATTCACTTTATTTTGTAGAAGTTTATTCGAAATGAAAAGCTTGCTGCAGTTCTCTAAACCAGATAGTATATACTGCACAAAACGATGTGAACTAAGTCGCATGTAAGTAAAAAAGTAGTTTCACTTATTAGACCAAACACTGTTTACAGTGAAGACTGTACCTCAGAGGTAAATTGTTGACCAGCTTCAAAATCCATCTCTTCTGTTTCTTGACACACCTGTTACAAAAGTGTTACAATAAAGGTGAGAATAGAGGTACATGTAAAGAAAACGGCCTATGGAAAAAGAAAAATTGTTTATGTGTGACTGTGGCAGTTCACATAACACATTAAGTACAATCGTACTCTTGTTTGACGGTGTCTGTCTGACTCTCAGTTATTTTGGCATCACACATCTGCAACGGTATTTATTTTTAGAAACCAGTGAACTGTTGAAATAGTCTTGTTTATCAGAAGTTAACGAAATACAGTTGACGATCGTGGTCCACCTTGGTTTCCATAATTATGAGCTTCCAAAACGGTTGGAAGTTAATACTGTTGCTTAAAAAAACATGAAAAATTTTCATCTATCAACCCTCCCTTTAAAGTACGGTACCAAATGGATATTCTCTGATAATCCATACCTCGTTTAATTCCTCCCCGAGTGGAGGCCAGTTTTTAAAATCTCTTGCGGTCCTCAGCCCTACACAGATTACACCACCGTGTCCCTAGTTTGTAAGTAGAACTTTTCTGTCCAACTTGGTCCAGAATGTTGTAAAAGCGTGCAGGGATATGATGGCTTTGCAAGTCGACGGACACGAGCAGGTTTCGTCGTCATCTCGGCGAATGCGGTCGAAATGCAGTCGAAATGCAGTTGACAGACCAACTCACTGGGTCCAATGCCACCAGCTCTACAAACCTGAGGGGTTGGTGTTCTCAGAACACCACTGCAACCACTATTTAGCCGTCTGGTTTTCGCCTTAGCACGCAACATCGCCTAAAAAACAATCCACTGTTTCAACGGACTCGCAGATCACTAGTAATACCTCACGAAACAACGACAATTTCACATCGTGTGCAACCTCCGTTAAGTTTTGGAAAATTATATAATAGAGACCATGAACATTCCTAGATTTGGGCGAGTTTTAAGGCTAAGTTTGCAGTATCTTTTCTAAGTTTTACACTTTTGTGAAGCAGGTGAGACTCGCGGCGAAAACCATTATAAAGTTACCGGCATTTTTTTGTTTTCGCAAGGTGTGCCGCTGACCAGCAAAATACTGTACCGGACCCCGAAAAACGTATTTCCGCGGTGTCCACCAGTATTCGTAAATGGACGAGCGTCTGACATGCGTATGTCAGGCAAGTCAGGGATAGACTGAGGTTTAAATGCTACACCTTCAAATTCTCGACAAGTAACGCACTCTTGGTTGCTTCTTGGGCATGCAACATCCAGTAATTCTCTCGCAGGGTTGTTAGTGTGTCCCTGACTCCATTGGGCTTAACGTTTGCATAACCATCCTTTATCAATAGGCTTACAAAGTCATTCTTGGAAGGCAACAATGTCGGATTCTTGCTCGTGGCTGGGAGGTCTGAATTGTTTAGTCTACCTTTACATCTATAGACACCTCTGCTGTCCTTGTACAATCCAAATTGCTTGACTCTCGGTAATCGTGCCATACGAGAATTCTTAGTCAGGAACTTGATCTTGGCGTCAAAATTACTTGCTTGGACTGTCTTTATCCAGTATGTCTCAGCGTCATTAATCTCGGAGGCGCTTAACTCTTTTGCAGGTTTGCTGGTACTGCCTGAAAGGATTGACTTCATAGGCTCAAATGCGAAGTAATGTTGTCAATGAGCTGTATTTCTTGGGATCAATAACTGCAGTGAAGTTCACTGAGGTTGAACGTTCTTGAGTGTTTATGAGAGAATGAGTCACATGTAGGGGGTATTTGACTAGTTCATTCATACGTTCCTCATCGTTTGTTTTCATTCTTGGTGACTTTGGCCAAGCACTGTCTGGGTTCCTTAGAAATTGTGGTCCTTTCCGCTAGAGTGAGCTCTCTTTAAGGCCTTTTCCAGATAAGCCTTGAGAAGGCAGATCAGCTGGATTTTGGGCACCTGGACAATAATTCCATACCGCTTCAGGGAAGGTTTAGGCAAATTTCGCAAACACGACTTTGAACATGTTTCCATGGTTTCTCCATGGTTGAACATGTTTCCATGGTTTCTCCTGCTTTATCCAACAAAGCACAGTTGTAGAATTCAACCAAAAGCTAGATTTAATTTCATGTGGGAGCGACTTCAACAAGGTGCAGACAAGTCTTGCCGAGATTGTTTCACCTAGTACTTCCAGTCTTGGTACGGTGTGCTGTTTTATGGGTGTCACTCTTGTTTTTGAAGAAAGTAATTTGACTTCAACATGTCCATCTTCGTACTCTGATCGCAAATAGAAAGCAGCAGCATAGGCCCTCTTAGATGCATCACTAAAGGAATGAATTTGAATATCGGTTGATACCATACTTGAATTAAAGTAGCAACGAGGTACACGTACATTGTTTAGTTGTATCAGGCTAGACACAAAGTTCTTCCACAGCCTTTGATGTCTTCCTTGTAGTTCGATATCCCAATCTAACTTTTCCAAACAGAGGGACCGAGACTTGCATTTCCTTGTAATAGTGAACGGACTTAAAAGTCCCAGAGGGTCGGAAACTTTGGCTGATAACTTGAGTAGAGATCTCTTTGTAACTTTTAGTGGGTTTGCATAGTCTATCAGTTCCTTAAAGTCAAATGCTATTTCGTCTGATACAGTCTACATCTACATCTACATTTAAGTCTATCAAAGGGAAGGCCCATGACCAATAGACTATGTAATAATAAAATAGATAACATTAAGAAAAGGGTTAATCTATGTACAATATTTGTAAAAAGATTAATCATTAATTAAGCGATAAATAAATAAATAGATAAAATAAAGTAAAAGAATATTACAATTTAAATATTTCTATTAATACATAGACAGGTAAAAACGAGCGATGTAACATCCCGACGTTTCG